TCCATCCAGACTCCCCTCCCAGTCCAGGCCGAGTACTTCGGGTAATATAACGCGAAACCAATGAGTTGTTTGTCGTTATCGTTGGGATGCGCGACAAATGTGCGGAATTGTCGGTCCGATGGGTCACCGAATCCGTCCTTTTCTATGACCTCGGGTTCGACCACTCGATCCGATGGCAGTCTCTGATATTCAGCCAACTCTTTGTACAGTTGGACCAATTGGTGACAATCCTCGCGACGGCCTTCCCGTATGGCAAACATTGTGTTGACTTGACGTGTGTTTCGCTTATTCTATGGATTCCTCGCAATGCTATCGAAATAATGGGTTGAATACAAGAATTGTGTCAATATTTATATACTCTTTGAAATGATGTGACAATTACTGACCAGTATTTGACAATTATCTGTCAAAATAACGTGACTTTGAAGGGAACGGGAGATGGTTTGGTGTGTGAATCACTTTTTATCCAAGGTCTCTCTCGTTTATTGTTTGTACTGCAAATGTGTGCTTGCTCACACTTTACATTTATGCTGTAATAGTGTAATTATCGAGAGCATTTTAGTGTGCAGGTACATTGTATCGTAATAAGTGCTCATTTGATTTAACACTCAGAATTGATGGCAATTTATGATAAACTACTAGATATTCAGAATAATCTATTCATATGTTTAATATTATTGAATTTTAATTACAAAAAAGTTTTTACTTTTTCGATGATTTAGAGATTTAGATATATTTCGCATTAACTCTTAAACTGATTCATTAAAATACAATTATCTGGAAGTGTTTGGAAAGATATATAGCTCTTGAGGTAGTGTTTAGTGTCTTATTGCTGACACCTATCAGCCAATTGTCTCAAAGGGTTGCCATCGAGTCTGAAGAAAACAGCTGCGGATGTCGTATCGTTGGCACCAATTTTGTTGTAGAAGGAAATGGAGCTCTCATTCCACGCGAGACAGTCCCACTCAAAACGCTGACAGCCCTCCTCAGCCGCTTGCTTAGCCACCCGTGCCATAAGCGCCACTCCCATACCTGTGCCTCGGTATTCTTGCTTGACATACAGGTGCTCCATCCAGACTCCCCTCCCAGACCAGGCCGAGTACTTCGGGTAATACAATGCAATACCAATTAGTTGTTTGTCGTTATCGTTGAGGTGTGCGACAAATGTGCGGAACTGTCGGTCCGTTGGGTCACCGAATCCTTCGGCTTCTAACTGCTTATGTCCGACCACTTGATCCGGTGATTGTCTCTGATATATCGCCAACTCTGCCAACAATAGTGCCATTTGTTGGCAATCCTCTCGACGGCCTTCCCTTATAGTGAACATTGGTCTCTGGGTTTGCATTCTTGATATTCAATTAAATTCTGTGCTCTAATTAATTCAAGAATTAGATGACAAGTCATTATTATTCATAAATATATTGATGATCACTCACCATAATCTGTATTTTTAGTCCTTTGAGTCAAATTTATGGTTATTCTTGTGGTTAATTTATTGATAATGATTGCACATAACATGTGAGCACTAGTGGTGAAGGTCTTGGCTTTAAACTGTTTATATAATGTTAATATAACTGTTTATTGCGATTATGACAATATATCTGCACACATATACCAGAATTACGTTTAAATATCTACTTTTATATCTGCCTTATAGTGAATTATTATTTGATTTAATATATATTCTTGCCAAGGGAATTTAATTTCATTTAAATTCAATGTTTGAATCTAGTTTTAACTCAATATACAGAATATGAGAATATTATCCCTGAATTATATTGATTTTCCCTTAAAATCCCCAAAAAAACTTATATTCTCTATGTATAAGAATATATTTTATTTTATTTATTTTAAAAGTTGTTGATTTAATAAAACTTAATTTACTGTTAATATTCTGTCGAAAGTATATACAAGTTATTGCAATGAGATATTCACAGAATTAAACTTTAATTATTAAATATAGTTATTTTATAGATGACATGAATTAAGATTTATTTCTTACAAACTCTAACAATTGGTTTAACAAAAGACTGGAAGTGTTTGGATTTATATAACTCATGAGTGCTCACAAAGACCCGCCAATTGTAGCAATTGATTGCCTTTGAGTTGAAAGACAATACCCGGGTTATCGCCGTTTGTCAGGTCAGTAGCGCCCACTTTGTTGTAGAAGGAAATGGAGCTCTCATTCCACGCGAGACAGACCCACTCGAAACGTTGGCAGCCATTCATTATTGCATATTTAGCCACCCGTGCCATAAGCGCCACTCCCACACCTGTGCCCCGGTATTCTTGCTTGACGTACAGGGACTCCATAAGGACAACCCTCCCACTCCAGGCGTTGTACATCGGGTAATGCAATGCAATACCGATTAGTTGTTTGTCGTTATCGTCGAGATGTGCGACAAATGTGCGGAACTGTCGGTCCGTTGGGTCACCGAATCCTTCGGCTTCTAACTGCTTGTGTCCGACCACTTGATCCGGTGATTGTCTCTCATATGCGGCCAATTCTGCCAACAATAGTGCCATTTGTTGGCAGTCCTCTCGACGGCCTTCCCTTATAGTGAACATTGGTTTCTGGGTTTGCATTCTTGACATATAGTTTGACAGACAATCAATATCTAAAAGTGTTTAATAGGGTTCATGTTAAATATCTTACGGGCATTTGTCAGCCATTTGTCTCAATTGGTTGCCATCGAGTCTGAATTCATTACTCTTGAGATCAGTGTCCGACATATTAATGGCGCCCAACTTCTTATAAAAGGAAATGGATTTTTCATTCCACGCCAAACACCACCATTCGAGTCGATTACTGCCCTCCAAAACTGTCTGTTTAGCCACCCGTGCCATAAGAGCCACTCCCACACCAGTGCCCCGATATTCTGGTGTGACATACAGGTCCTCCAACCAGACCCCCCTCCCAGTCCAGGGCGAGTACCTCGGGTAATACAATGCAATACCAATGAGTTGTTTGTCGT